GTAGATTCTTTTTCTGTGTTGTTTAATTTGGTTTGCAAGTATTTTACTGAAAATTTCTGCATTATATTCATCAAGGATACTAGCCTGTAATTTTCTTTTCACATAGTTTCAGTTTCTGGCTTTGGTATCAGGGTAATGCTGGCCTTGTAAAAGTTTGGAAGTGGCCTTTCCTCTTTAACTTTCTTTAAGAGTTTTGAGAAAGATTGTCATTAATTCTTTTTTAAATGTCTGGTGAAATTAACCAGTGAAACCATCTGTTAGTGGGATTTTCTTTGTTGAGAGGTTTATGATTACTGATTCAATCTCCTTAATAGTATTTGGTCTAGTCAGTATTGATTTCTTCTTGATTCTGTCTTGGCAGAGAGCCTTCTTCTCAGAATGCATTTATTTTTTCTAGGCTGTCCACTTTTTTCGTGTATAATTGTTCATAGCATTCTATTATTATTCTTTGTATTTCTGTGGTATGTTGTATTTTTGTGGATGCATGTATGGTTATTGTTGTTCTATCTTCTTGATGAATTGACTTTTGATCATTATATAATCAATTTCTTTGTCACAGGAACTTGTTTTTTTTGTTTTTTTTGTTTGTTTGTTTGTTTTTTTGTTTTACTCATCCATATAAATACATCTGTGTTTTCTCAATTAGTAGGTAGTAAAAGTAACTACTAAACCAAAATTTTTAAATTTTAATGGATGGTCCCCATAATAGAAAAGTTTGGAAACTACTTCTGTGGGTATATGCTTTCTAAAGAGATACTGATTTCTCTAGAACGATCATACAATGCTCCAGAAGTAACTAGCACGATCCTGCAGGTTAGTTGCACCATCAAACATGCCTTCTGTCTTTTAACTTGAAATCCACTTGAAACTGACCACACAGCCAACTGTGAGCCCAATGGACAGGCGTTTTGGAGGCTTCCCAGCACACTGAGACAGACCGGCCAATGTGCAGCAGGGTCTCTGTCTAAACCACGTTTCTGAAGCTCACTGCTTTCATTTGAAAGGTCAGAATTCATTCAAACCCATGTCTTTAATGGCCCTTAGTTTGGGGACTTTTCCCACCCACAGTCTCCACCACTTGTCTTTATGAATTAAAAGCCATTTTGACCATATCCTTGACTCAATCCTATATTGAGAATAAAGGAGATATGTTCATGCAGAGGAAATATAACAAAGGAGGGACTTTCCTACAAGATCTTTGAAAAAAAGAGCATTTGCATGAACCATTTTTAACCAGAATCTTTGTTTTATGTTTTTCCTTTCTGAATGCTTTGTTATGCTCCCTTACAGTCCCCCACCCTGTCCCTTGACCCCAACTAGTCAGAGACCAAAGACTTGACAGTGTTTCGCGTTGGAACCTTCCTGGCCCTACCTAGTCATCCTGCCTGATTAATTACACTTACTGACTAGGCCCCCTGCTTCCATTTCTCTCCACTCCTAAGCCCTCAGCCGTGTTACTCTTCCCAGAATATCCCTGTGATCCTGTCTCTCTCTTGCTTGGGTTTTCCCGAAAACCACAGAATGGACTTCACAAGCTTCAGTCTGGGGTTTGAAGCTGCTCTGTGCCTTTCGTGTTGCCGATTCTCTGCTGAGCCTATGAAACCTCTCTGGCCCCTCTGACTCCGGTACTTTGCCTCAGCGACTTAACTCACCCGGTTCGTCATTAGACCTCACTCGGGATCTAATTTTATCTCTAAATTCCACCCTTTGCCCAGTGGCATCTCCCGCCTCCGCCCCGCGGCATCTCTGAGTTTGCGCGCGCAGCGTGCCGCAGTGCGCACTGCCTTGGTTTGCAATCAGCAGCGCTTTCTTCCCTTCCGCTTCCATCGCGGGGTCTTTCCGGGCGGGACTCATCCCCTGTGCGTCCACAGCCTCTGGTAGCAGTTTATACAATAGTAAAATTTTGGTAGGTGTTGAAGTGGTTAATTGAAAACTACCATCCCATGCCTTAAGCCTCTCTTTAAACTAAACATTTCCTTGAATTTATTACTCAATTTTGAGCATCCATTGTCCTCCAGACACAGGAATGAGTCTGAGGATGCCGAGGTCAAGAGACACAGCCTTTTCTCTTAAGGTCACTTTTGAGGGTGATTTTGGTGTCAGTTGGGACATGGCCACATTCTTTTGGCCCTCCCAAACAGTATCGGAAATCAAATCTGTTTTGAGAAAATTTTTATTCCTTTCTCTTTGGCATAAGACACACAGCTCTTTTTAATACCACCTTTCCTTACCTATTAAACAGACACACACAAGCCATGTGGACTTAAAAAAAAGTTAGTGAATATCTCTGAGCCTATTTCCTAAAATTTAAAATGAGGATGATGAAACCTGCGGCCATGGCTGAAATACTATGTGGAAGCTCAGAACTCTCTCTAAGAGCTGTCAAGATTCCCAGAGAGCTTAACTTACATGCTCCCCATTGGTATTGATTTTCTTGTAAGTGTTTTGTTTATGCCGAATTATTTTGTTCCAACTTTGCTTTTTGTGGCTCTTCCTTTCTATCTGCTATTTTCAACCTTAAACTCCTTCAAAGCCACCTGGATACAGGTCTGTACTAGTGGCAGGATCTTTACAGAAGGTTAATGCAAAACCGAGGGAATCACATCATTTAATATTCTCCGTTTGTCCTCAGGGGCCAGGCTGCCCCGCCTGAGTTCTGGCTTCCCACAAGTCTACAGCTTTTCTCTGTCTCCTCTACCTTCCTTCCTTTTCCTTTTGCCTTCACGGGAGCAAAGGAAACCAAATTCTCTGCATTTTCTCATACAGAACACCCCAGCTACAAATTACTGCTTAAGTTGCTGCCAACAATGGTCTCACCTTGTGCCTTAGAAGTGTATCAAGAGAAGATAGTTTTCTCCCAGTTTGGATTTGAATGTCAAATAAGATAATTGGATGCCAGCAAAAATCAGCTTAAGATAATAAACTTAAAAATAAATCCGTTACTTTTTTCCTCATCGCGGCTACTATGGCATTTAGAACTATTAGAATTGGAAACGCTGCTATTAGATCTGTTACTTGGACCAAAGTTTGTACCAAGATGCTGAGGAAAGCTCAATTCCAGTTAAACCTTTCAGAGTCGCTCAGGGAGGCTGCATCTCGTGAAATGCTGTGTCCACCACCAAGGCCGCCACAGCCAAAGGGAAGCGGAAATCTCATTATTTCTCCTGATAATTTCCTTGTCCTTTGTCATGGGATATGTGTCATCGGGTGGTGGCAGCTTTTCTTTCCTGAATGGGACATGTGAACAGAAAGAAGACTCAAACTGCTAGAGTCAAGAGAGAAATTTTAAAAGACCTTTGGAGAAAAGGAGAAATAAAGAGATGAGTCAGCTGGCAGAGGATGGAGACTCTGAGGGGGAGACATGGACGTGTAAAGGCGAACGTTAATAATTTTCCACGGTACGGTTTGGGTATGAAGCCTCTTTCTTGCTTCACCTATTTCTCATTAGATCGTTATGGAGCCGGGTCTGTGTCAGGCATGTATCAAAGAATACAGCACAGTCTTAGGGAGGACGGGTGAAACCTAGGGCCATGCATGGGAAGTGTGTGACACGGGTGGCAAATTTTTCTTATCTGAGCTAAGGTCATAAAATGAAATTTTAACATAACGAAATATTTCTGCAGGAAACAAAAATAATATAGCCCAGGGCCATCCATCCCTGGTAAACAAATCCAGAGGAATGGATAATTTTGTGTCCCTTGGACTCTGTCAATTTCGCAAAGGCTGGTATTCTGAGTTATGGGAGAAGGGTAATCTGGAGTACAATTGCGTGAGGAAGATAACGATACCCCATTTCATAAGTCATCCTGAAATCCAGAGAGTTGATGACTGGCAGGGTCACACGTAGAGGCAGAAGGCCGGGTCGCAAGCAAGGAGGTGTGACTCCCCAGCCGTCCATCACCTCCCAGTGAGGTGCAGGCGGCAGGGCCGACTGGCGCCAAGAATCTGAGCTCCAGGTTCCTGTGTGCACAGTGAAGGACCTTCTGGTTCCCAGTCTTAGGGAGAAGGCCTCGGACCCACTTCTGCTCAAACCCTTGCTTGAGATCCAGAATCCTACACCAAGAAAGCATGAAAGGCAAGATTTGGGTCGACAAAAATCTACAATTAAGGTTCAGTTCACAAAGCAGTTTCTTACCCATCTGAATAATCATGGTAACTCCGTCAAACAAGGCATATAGGCAAGGAAACGAGAAGCTAAGTCTCAGGGAGGTTAAACCCAAGATCTTTGACAAAATTGATCTTGTGAATCTTTATTTCTTTAGAAACCTTTATTTAAGGGATGTAGTATGACAATTTCTAAAATCCCATAGTAGCCTTAGGACTTAAACATAGGTAGAACTGTGTTTTTAAATCTATACACATCTTACTTCCAAGAAGTAGCCTCCACTTGGGTTCTTTGATCCTGAGTCTTAGCTGAACAAGCCCTTGCAGTGAGGGCTGCCGTGTGGGTCTCTGTAGGGTGTGGGTCTCTGCACTGGACGACTCTGAGGGACGCAGCATACGCTGTGTGAATGTGGATGGTACGTCCTAGATTTATGCTGCACGGTGTGGGGAATCTTTTGCAACAGCCCTCATCGTAATGTAGAATCTGAGATGGCTTTGAGAAAGGAAAATGTAATCACAGAAAAATCATTCCCATAGCATGTATGAATGTTTATAAAAGCTCTATTGGCCATGGGACAAGGAGGCATCTCCAGCTAGTTTCTACACAGGGCCCGATTCTCTTCTAGGAAGGCAGCCCGTGACATTGAATGAGTATCTGCTCAGGTCATCATCGCCCGTGGAGAAAAAGGGTTTGCTGCAGCTTGTATCAAAAAGTACACTGTGTGCTCTTTCTGATTTATTCAAATACACTTCTTTTGAGTGTCGAGTAATGAACTAGATACTCCAGGGATGTGGCTCAATCTCTACAGTTAAGGAGGGTAGAATTTCATTGGAGAGAAACATACATGTGATAATTTTTAGAATAACAAACTAGATAACACTAAAAAATAAAAGCAAACTGTATTTAAGTACAAAATCATATATTGCAAACTAACTTTACGATGGAAGGCCAGGAAAGGGAGATTGCCATTGGTGAGACTAGTTAAGGACTAGCTATGAAGGAAGTGGCGAGCGTGCGGGATGCCCGAGGGATGCCCGACATGAATCTTTACAGGTAGACAGGCTCTAGGGAGATGGAGAGGCTGGAAGCAATGAAATAGAAGGGCCTCCGTCTGTAGAGGGTGGGGCTACAGTGCAAATAGGACTTTCCGCCTTCACCTTTGGAGTAGAACCCCGTTACTTTGCTGGAGTTGGAGAGAAACGATTACTTCAATTTTCTGAACTTTCTGTAAGGACGTAACCCCACAGTGAACTGGAGGGCCAGGAGGTGAAATGTGTCTGCAGCACAGCAGGGACCGGGGTGGCACATGTGTCAGATTTTCACTGTATTCAGAAGTACGTCAGCAGGCACAGCACTGAATTGAAACTGGAAACAACAGCCAAGAAAGAGAGCGAAATGGGGCGTGTTTACACCCCACGGCGACCCTTTTCCCCGCGGTCTTGTTTCTGCGCAGAAAGGAGGGTAGAACGCAGAGCTGCATGGACCACAACTGTGGGCCGGGGGAGGGGGGCGAAGGGAACAGCGGGAGCCAAAGGAGCTGCCGGGCATAGAGGGGTCTCTTCAGATGCCCCGAAAGGGACACATGCCATCTCAGTGGGGGGGACACCACGTAGGAATCTTTTCTCATGGAGGGTTGGAAGGATCCAGCGATGCTTTAGGATCCCGAGGATTTTCTTTCATGGAGGGTGGTTTAATACGGATCATCCGTGCTGAATGAAAAACAGGAGAATGTAAGTTAAACAAAGGAGGTTAAAAATTGCACAAATGTAAGTGTTAGCAGGAAAGGTAAATGTTTACTAAAGGTGAGAAAGGGTAGAGGAACTATCTTCCGTGGATTGGGCAATAGCAAGACAGGCCCGGAGGCGGGGCATGGGAGCAGAGAACCCTAAAGCTGAGCTCCTCACGCTCTCTGGTGCTCACCACCCACAGGTGGTGGCAAAATGTGCAGACTCTGATTTGGTGGGTTTGGGCATCTTGAACAAGGCACCTGGTGATGCTCATGCTGCTGGTGCGTGCCCAGAAGCACTTAGAAAAATGTCTGGACACAGGCTCTGTCTTCAGACCGGATAAGTATGCATGACATTTTAGATAGAATTTGGATAGTGGACAGTCAGGAAAGTAGAAGACATGTCAAATGGAAAGAGAAATCAGAGAAAAATCAAAACTCATGAAAGAAAACTATGATGCTGATTCTAAAGGCCCGATTCTGGCGGGATATGATTTAAGGAGATGGTGACAGATTTGGTTTCATGAATTAAGTGATAATTTTTTTGTGTGTGAAACTTTGAAAGGGTGGGGAGAACCAAATACAGTATGTCTTAATAGCACCTTTCACAGGGAGAACCAGATTCTGAGACTATTCTCATGATGAACTGCCAGGGTAAACCACAATTCAGCAGCTGCAAATGTGCTTGCCAATACAGAGATAAAAATGTTTCTGAAAACAGAATTTCACATAGACCCTCCTCTGAGGTTGGCATCGTATCTTCCTGTGTATCTTGGGTGTAGCTTTTACCCAGGCAGAATTTAGACACTAGAAACCAAATGAGGTGACAAACAGAACCAGTTTGCAGAAGAATCAAAATAACCCAGCAAGAATTGAAACCACAAATGCCCTCAGAGTCCTTAATTCACCAACCCAAAGCTAATAGGATTGAGCGTGGCGGGCTGCGAGCATTAGCTCAAGGGCTTAAAAAAACTCTGATACAAGACGTTGAGTGTGATGGTGTTGAGTGTGATGGTGTTGAGTGTGATGGCTTGTTCTAGGAACACACCCTATTCTTCCACTCCACCCTTCCTCAGTGCCATCACACTGTGGTTTCAGTGTGAAAAAAAGAATCACATTACTCGAGAAGGAGGGCGTCTGGGACTTACAGCTCTAACCTGGGAATCAAGAGTCCTGAGTTCTAGAAGCATAAAGGTTAACAGTGTGGTCTTTGGATCTAGGTGGATATAAACCTCAGCTTTGCCATTTATTCAGTGACCTCAGCTAGTTATTTTATTTCTCTGTTCCTTTATATGATTTATATGTCTTCCCACAGGCTTGCAGGCAATATTTACTAATTTAAGACACGTAAAACACTCAGAACAGTGCAGTGCACAGCATGTATGATAGAATTTGTTATGATTCTGACTAACTGTCACTAGCTCAGGACCTACAGCAAAGTTATTTAATTAGCTCGATGGCCAAGAGTTTGAATGCCACGTCTACCAATCCTTTACAGTCCTAAAGAATTTGATGAATTATGATTTTATGAATTAGAAGTCACCTTGGTCAATAGATGAGAGGTGTCCCAAGGTGGCTGGGCAAAGAATTCTTTTCTGCTAGGTCCTTCTAGTACATGTGGTGAAGCACTCGAGATGTGTCAATGGGGCCGACCTTGCCTTCTAGCTCCTGCTGGCGGCCCCTCAGCATGCCGCTGGCTCTCGGCAGCTCCGCTTACTGGCCCGAACATGCCTTCCTGGTCCCGCCACTACACCATCCACATCGCCTCCCTCCTCTGGACGGCCGTCCCCGCTTCTGTCCACACCCCTACATCTCATCCATCCTTCAAAGACCAATCTGGGTTCCACTCGGGTTATAAGATTTTGTGTGCACACCAAACTCCTTCTGTATTGAAAGTCTTTTCTTCAACATGGAATTCATTGACCATCGCCATATTCTGTCTTAAATTTTTCCGATATTTTTCGTATATTTCAGTCTTAACTTCACAACTAGATCATCTCCCTCGGGTCAAGAACAAGGATTTACTCCTCTTCCTGTCTCAGTCATTAGCGTTGTTCCTACACAAAGGTGTTCAATAAACAGCTATTGACTGATTCATTGTAAAAATCAGTGACCCATTAAACTTAAAGTGGCAATAGCTTAATATGGTAATTAACTTAATGCTAACTCTTCCTGCCAGCGGTCTCTTCCTGTCCCACGAGGACATCTGAAGAGCTGAATCTATCTGCTTCCATCTAGTGGTAATTAAAACACGGGTGGTTCCTGTGGCCAGAATACACTCTGGGTAGAATGTGCCAGAAAGACTTTCACTCAGTGGGTGTGAGCATTAAAGAAGACTTGATGCCTTCCTGCCGCCAGAGACAGGGAAGGCAGCCCGGAGAAGGGTTTAGGACCCCGTCTGCACTAGCAAATGGAAGGCAGGGCAGTAAGAGAGAAGGAAAGGACTCCTATTGACCGTGTGTCCCCATCCAGGTCCCCCGATGCTCTCATCTCCTCTCAGCCCAGCTTTGTAAAAGAGGCGGCTCATGTGTTCTGCCTCTACTTTGTCACCCCCACCAATTCCTCACCCCCTGGCTATCAGACTTCTGTGGTGACCTGAACACTGAAAACAGCCTCCTCATCAATACCCTTGTGACATCCGATGAAACAACTGGTTCTCCTGGCAGCTTTTGAAACAGTTTTCATCTCCTTCTTCCAAAGCGTTCACAAACCCATACTCTCCTCATTTTCCTTCAAACTCCCTGGAAAGCTCTTCCCATTCTCCTCCTCCTCCTCCGCTGACTCATTCCATACTGATGTCCCTGTGGCTCTGCCCTCTGTCCCACACCCTCTTCCATCCTCACAGTGCTCGCTTTCCCTGGACAGCCAGATCTGCCCCTGAGATGGCAGTTAGCCTCTGTATGCGGGGACCCCTGAATCCACTTCTCCTGCCCCAAGGCAGCCCTGGTGCCAGACAGAATGAATGGACTATGGCGGAGCCACAGATACCTAGAGCTCAGCATGTGCCAAACTGAACCATGAGCTCCACCTCCAGACCTTCTCGATTCTTTTGTGTTCCTTCTCAGTGAACAGTACTCTGTGGTACAGACGGTAGCCATCCATCAGTTCCTTGACCAGAACCATGGAAACTTCTTTGATTCTTCTCTCTCTCTCATCCGGCCATTAACCATATTTGATAAACTCCGTCTCCTCTCATCTCATGAACTCATCCTCACTGCTATTTCTCTGAACACGCACCATGAGCTTTAACTTAGAAACTTCAGATTCCTCCAAAATTCCTCCAGAACAGTTCTCTGCCTCCAAGCTCATGCACTTCTCATGTTTGCACGTTTTTGTGTAGAGTGATCCTCATAGATCAGATGCAGAGATCGCGGAGATACACATTTCGGCGTGACACTCCCGTGCTTAAACGCCTGGAGTGATACCCCCAAAGCCCCCAGGTTAAGTCCGTGCTCTCTGATATGGCTTATAAATTACTCTATGGTCTCACCCCTGCTGCCTTACGGCTCCCACTTTCTCTTTTGCCCTCTTGGTTCAGCCCACTGAACTATTAAGAATTTCTTAGTAACAATTTGTGGTTTGTAGGGTGGTTGTCTGAACAAGCAACCAACTTCCTTGGGGACCATCTTGCTTCGTTTTCGGCTTATTCAAAGCTGGGTGTCTAGATGGGACTTAGATGTCACCAGAGTCTCATCTTCGTAGTTCCCTTACACTCTCCTTCCTAACATCGCAGAGCAAGTCACCAAGGCCCTCGAACCGAGACGTATTTTTCCGTCTTCGTTTCTGCCAGGTGGACCGTGCCCTTCCACACGTCTGCATCTCTTCTCAGTATGTGCTCCTCCAAGTGAAGACATCTGAGGTTTAAGTCCAAACTAAAAAATTGCCTTCTGGGGGAAGCTACAAATAGAGTTTGTGCTCCTCGCTTTGCCCAGACTCCTGAGGGTCAGTGCTTAGCGGAGCTGAATCGTCTACCAGCTTGTGCTGGGCATCAAGGGCCTGTGCGCTGGAGTTCTGCCTTCTGAGAGCCGGGGTTCCTCGGCTTCTCAGTACATGCCTATTGAATTGGATGTTTCCTGAGTACTGTATTATGTATTGCTCTCATGTTCAGCCAGAACAAGAAAAAAATATATACCACAATACTTCCAATCCTCAAAACAAACAAACAAACAAGCCAGGAACAATCAGAAAAAGTTCCCTTTACGTAACTGTCTTTTCCTAAGAGGACATTGCTTGTTCATTCATTCATTCATCCATCATCTCCACTAACACACACAAAAACAGCTTTTAAGGGAGACTAGTAGATCGGTCACTTTATCTGGAAACTTCAGTTGAATGAGACCCGATGTAAATAACTACTAAGGAATTAGTATAACAGGAAGTATCTTAAGGAAAGTAGAGGAGAGATCATCAGATGTGAGAACTCCTCACTGATAAAACTTACCTTTTCCGAGACTTTTTGCCTAAAAATAGAAGAAATAGAAAAATGGATTAGCATAAGTAGACAATTTCAATTATTTTAAGTAAGAGTAGAAGGAGAGACCCATCCTCAAAACTGGCTTTTGAAGAGTATTATGCATTTGATAGATGGACCCCATCTGTGTCTCGGGGATTTGAGGTACTGGGTGACTGTTCTAATTCACAGTGGTAAATACCCTGGCAGAACAGACCCTTTGGTGCAGGTGCTTCTTAGAGTTGCGTTCCATCCTCTGTGCTGCTCGTAGAGACAGACGTACAGCCTGAAACACCTGACAATCAGACCCAATGTACCCATTCACGTGTTCATCCCTTCCTGACCTGCCATCTCATCCTACCCGCAGATCGTCCCCCGGGAGACTTAACTGTTAATACTCTAAGAATATGTGTCATTCCGTTTCACGTCATCTTCTCTGTGAGAATTCACAGAAGTTTCACTCAGGTCTCAGTGGTAGGAATTACACATCTTCTCTGAATGACCGGTGTGTTTTTATCTTAGAAATACAGTGACTGTCTTAAGTGGTTATACTTTCTTCTTTTGACTGGTTGCAAAGAAACTCTGAGCCAGAACTGAGACCCTCTTTTATAGGACTTTGTGACACACACTTTTGTGTTCTAACTTTACCCTGGCTCCAGCCTATTTTTGTACCCTAAATATTGGCCTTCTTTTTCTTTTTAACTAATTTTAACTTATTGTGTTGAATGCATTTTGAAATTTAGCTTACATTCTTTCTGAAAAAAGCAGAGTATAAATAAATAGATGTTGGGCTCCAGGGGAAATAAAAGCAAAAAGAGTTTTTTGAGGGGAAAAAAGTCACTAGGCAACAATATATTTCAGTGGCTATAAACTAGAGTTCTAGAATCATCCAATCTGGATGTAAATCCTTGGCGGCATGTCTTTAAATAGCTACTTATCCTCCCTAAGCCACAATTTCATCTTCTGTGAAAGAGGCATGAAATTACATCTTCCTCATTGAGTTGGCAAAACAAAATGTATTCAAAATATTTAGTCAAGAGCTCAGAGCTTAGACAGTGTTCAATTACTATTTTATTGTATACCTTTAAAATATTAGAAACTACAATTTTAAATGTTTCTTCCCAAATTCAGCCTACTGATGATGTGGACCAAATATACCTGGGCAGAGAGAATTCAATCTGAATTAATTTCAGATTCTGTTTATCCTCACACATATTTTTTTCAGGAACAATGAAACACATACCAGTACATGAGCAAGAATCTGTTCCTACCGAGAGCATTTACCTTTGTAGAAAAGGGAACTAAGGCGCACGTGTTCAGTTTCGTGCCCTTTTCCAACCCTGCATTGGTTCAGGGGGAGAGGTCTGCCAACCGAGGAGGAAAGTCAAGCCTCGTTAACCTGCAGACCAGTGGCTTTGGCCGGGAGGACACGTCCAGATAGATTCTGACCTCTGACTCGTGCCCCGGCCGATTCAGGGTTTCAGAGGTTTGGCCTAAAACCTCATCGCCTCAGTTTCCTCGTTCACCAAATAGGGCCAATGACAATGACTAGTCGAGAACGATGATGCTAGAGGGAAAGCGTTTCTAGACAGGCCCATGCCCAGGGGAGCATGCTTCTGGAGCCTTCCCCTCGCCTTCCTCAGAAGGAAGGAGCTAACGTCTGGATAGCGAGGCAACGAGCACCGGGGCCAGAAGATGCAGCTGAGGACAGGGCAGGGTCAAGGTTCTGGTCAGTAATTTGGCTGCTATGTTCTAGATAGTCACCTGTTCCTCTTCCCAGCTTTGTGAACCCCAAAAGCCTATAAAATTCTCAGAGCCCATGAGTACTATGCAGCTTTATTTATTTATTTATTTTTTGACTTTTACCCTTGTAAGTGCATGAGCTACACATTCAGTTAGAAAAGGGTTTAGCTTGGGGACCTACCCATCTCTAGCATTATGTCTCTAGGAGAAATATTCTTCATGCTTCAACTAACTTAACAACTAAAAGTTTTGGAAGATGAAGTTACTTGAAAATTGGAGATAGCAGAAGAAGTTTCACAAATGAAGACAGTTTAAACATGTTAAAGATATCCTGACTTTCCTACGAAGCCAGTGATCTGTGGGGCTGCTGTTCTCTTGGGTGATGGAACTGTAACTAGCCCAGCTGCCCGTTATCTGTTTCCTGTTTGCCCCACACTGATTCCCCCCGCAGGGGCATGCAGTTTTCAAGTTATCAGTTAGAGATCTCATACTGAAATGACTCCAGGGTGAAAAATTTAAAAACAACCCCACTGCTTTTCTCACCCCTGCTCGTAAGACAGCCTTACCCAGCTCACCCCCACTAGATGCACCTGACTTCAATTCTGATCTTTTGATCTACTAACATTTATTAAAGGATTTTGGAATTTGGGAATAAATATCTTCCTTAGGCAGGCGATTCACAGCCCCTAAGTCCTTCAGGCTTGTTTAGATATCTCTCAGCCCCCTCGCCCAGAGGGCGGTGTGAGATTACCCACTCTGTCCTCTACTCCCTCCATCTGCCACCAGCATCCAAAGTGGGAGGGAAGGAAGGACGGCTGGGGGCGGGCTTAGAAGTCTCAGCAGAAATGATAATCAGTGATGGGAGAAGAGTCTCGTTCTTTTGCGTCAGTGCCACACACATGTGCTCAGTGTGGTCCTGGAAGGCGACGAGACCCAATCTTAGCAGAATTCCTAACAGCAGGAGCAGAGACATTGTCACTACTCCGTGCTCCCAAGTCACAGTTACTGAAGCTCTTGCCCATGGACAGGCCCCCGCCATTGCCTTTCGGGGTTGGTTAAAAAAACTAATCTTGTTCCCTTACCCTTAAATTCGGAGTGAAAGACCAGATCATAGTGGAAGACCATTAGGGATTGGCAGATAACATTACTGTAATTGCCAGGGAGGCCTTCGCATACCATAGTCATTGAACAGAATACATACTAATTAATTGGATGAAAGTGAAATTAAAATGGCAATCAACTGACCCCATAGAAAAGCAACATTTGGTTAGCAGTTGGTTAGCAGCTGTTCTGAGGTCATCAATGGCTCGTCTCAACTCGAAGCAGGGATTTACCGAAAGCTGCCTAATGTGCATGAATTTCATAGTCTTGAATGTTTCTGCCAGGTGGGTTTGGCCAAATGTAGCAGCACACGCCCAGGATCTGCCTCAGACCGTGGGCCTGTAACCAGCAGGCTGGCTGCACTTTAGGATTTGAACACACTCGGGGGTGGGAGGTGCCGCTGCTCTTCCCTCTAGTAGAGTGGTGTTTCACTCTACTCCAGGCATCCAGGCAGCAGGTATGGGCTCCTTACTCTCAAGGAGGCCCTCCTTACTCTCTCCTGTGTTCCGGGCTGGAGGGGAAGCATCAGTGTGTGCTGCCTTTGGTTGGGGCTGTGACCCTGAGGAATAGACACTGGGAAGAAAACTTGGGGATTTCTCCCAGGGACAGTGCAGCTCCCCAGGTCAGGAGCCAGACCAGGCATGTGACTCTCCCTGAGGTCAGGGGTTGGGGAAAGCCTGACTGGACGGTGGAGTCACTGCGTAGTAGAATCATAGCCCTGAAATCAAAGGCACAGAGGCTCAGAGAGGGCAGATTATGCATCTCTTTTTTCAGAATTAAGTAAGAGCAAAGAACCATCAGAGTATCTCATTTGTCTATATCACCCTAGCAGGGTGCCTCGAAGGTAGTGAGCTTCATTTTAAAGTTTGTTGGAGTAAAAACAAAAATCAGCAAACTTTTAGTAATGCAAGTGTGTTCTGGGCTGCTTCCCACGTCTCCAGGGACTGGTGTGTACAGAACACAGAGCATGCTATCCTGCTTTGGTCGAAGCTATCATACCTAGTTTCCTGTGGGTTTCTACATTTTTTTCTCTTTAAAGTTATGTTATTATCGTGAAGATAAACTCACTTACCTTTTTTTAATCGCCTTGCCAGCCAAATGATAAACGCCAGCCCCAAAAACGCAGTAACCATGACTGCCACTGGGATGAAGAGGGGGTTATAGTCACCGCTCTTGATCATTGAGAAGCTCCTGTCCACTTCTGAAAGAGAAACCAGGAAGGCACGTGGCGTGAGGCTGCGGCATCGCTTCCCCAGTGCCATCTCGTGATACTAGACTTTTTCTCTCCTCACACTTCCCAGTAATAGCCTAAGTGATGCCACCTGATAGATGAGGAAGTGGCATGGGAGGCCCATGAGGAAGTGGCATGGGAGGCCTGTGATGAATCTGCAGCACAGGCAAAGACGAGACCAGCTTTTCTAGCCCAACACCTGATGAATCTCAGTTCCGAGATCTGTGATTCAGTATCTCTTTCCCACCATCTCCTCCATCTTTAAAGTCTTCAGTGTATTGGGGCAAACTGACTCACTCTGACATATTGGACTGAGGCTCGTCCAGCTTCCAGATGATCCACAAAAAGTTTCCTTCTCCCCCATTAACTCATTTCCTTCTGAGCAGCTGAAGGTGCACGTGGAGGTAAAGCTGAAGTTGGCCAGGGGGTGACTACAGTCCATGGTCCCCAAGTCGGGTGCTGTCAGCGGCTCACAGTGAATCACTTTAACGGAAAGGAAAAACCAGTTACTTCTGAGCAGAAGTAAAAACTAGTTACCCTGGCAGGGGTTTGGCCAAGGCTGCCTGACTTAACTGTGGAACCATCCGCAGGAATCTAGAAGTTTCTAATCTAGCAATTGCTTCTGATGATGCTTCCAGACTCTGTTTTTTCTGAGAATGATGGCGAGTGGCGGTCAGGGGTGAAGTCAGGAGAGTGAGGGGTGAAGTGAGGGATGGGCACAGGGGAGCTGGGGAGGGCCGGCCCTCCGGGGAGCTGCCCCAGCCCTGCCCACGCTCCAGCTCTGCTGGAGCTGCCGTGCTGCATGGCCTTCGCCTCGAGACTTCTCACGGAATCTCATCAGCGAGTGTAGAACACGTGTGCCCCTTCACCTGTTCTCAAGTCTGCCCAAGCAGTTTTGAAAAACACCCCAGTTCTCTGGAGCAAGTCCCTCAACTTTTGTACAAGTCGGCAGGTTAGTCAACTTAGTGCTGTGATTTCAATAAATGGCTTTGACAGTTCTTTTGAGAATTAAACCACTCAAACTAGCGAGTCAAAAGCATAAATATAAAAAATGTAACCAAAACTTCACAAGTTCAAACACCAGCAGTTTTCTCCAGGATAGGGATAATGTTGACCGTTAAGAAGAAAAAGTCCACCGTATTTCAAAGGGAAAAAAGATCAAGAGATTGCGTTTTTGTTTTTCACAGCAGTTGTTATTCTCCTGAGAGTTCATGGAAGAAAGTAAAGATGGTTTCAAGAATAAACAAATACAACAATAAAAAGAGACCTCTATCCTCCGAGAAGGAAATTGGTTGGTGTTAAGTAGGACACCACATAGGTGTTATTGAGAAGAGAGATCAACCAAAATTAAAGTGAGGTTCAGCAAGACTGACTATTTATACCATGACAATGAGAAGAAAAAAAATACAGCGTAACCACACGGAGGCTGAAAATGACATGCGCACTGTGAAATGTCTTCAGAGGTATTTGGCTGTTATTTTTTGTTTGTGGTTTTTCTTTTTAATTTTAGTAACAATAACCCCTCTGAAAAGCATCACAGTATAATCTAAGGTTAAATCATGCTCCAAAAGAGGATGCAGACTTCTTACCAAGACTCTACTGTATTTTCTGAGTTTGTAAACCCAGGCCTGCCGTGACAAAGCTAGTTGGAACGGTTACTCACCTTGACAGGTTGGTTCAGGTGATGACCAGTTTCCAAATGGTCCACAAGTGGTTTCTTCGCTCCCAATTATGTCTGTTCCCTCAGAGCAATGGAAGGCACACCGTGAGCTGTAGCTGAAGTTTCCCAAAGGGTGAGTACAGACCATGGTACCCAGCGTGGGGGCCTCCACAGGCTCACACTGAGTCACTTTAATAAGAAAAGAAACAGCACTGGGTAGTGTTAAGAGAGCTGGGTTTGAATCCTAGCTCTGCTACTTGATAACCAAGTGTTTTTAAGCAAAGTGACTTAACCCCTCCAGCTTTAGTTTCTTCATCTATAAAAGAAGAATATGATGATTATATTCAATTCCTAGAGTCATGTGGGAATTAAATGATTTAATGCAAGTCAAGGACTTGGAATAGAGCCTGACTCATCTGTAGTCTTAATTAAAATCTAGTCAGTCTTCTCGTTGTCTTTGGAATTAGTCAGGGAGAGAATTCTTAAACACAGATGGGTTTAAGTGGGAATGACCAGCTCAGTTTGGAAATTATGGTCAAATAGCAGCCCCTGAGTATATTAGAGTGTTGGGAGTAGGGGGTTTGGAGAAAGAGTGGGTGTTCATGATTAGTCTTCTTTCCAAGGGGAGCACGTCAAAGCTTTAAGAAGCATCTCAGCCTTGCTTCTGCCTTCATCTCTAGCTCACTTCCACAGCTTCATTTCTTTTCGACTTTCTCCAGCCACTGTGTCAGTTTCCCTGCTCTGACTGGTTGTGCAGTGGGTCACATTAAGATTCGAAAATCAGTCTTTGCCTTTTAGACCCTGCCTTGCCGTTTGGGCAAACATTGCAACTCTCGTGTATATTTGTTATCGAATTTCAGCCATTGCTGTGATCTTGCTCTTGAGATTTCAATAAAAAATGGATCCAAGGAATTAGAAGAATTTTAATATTTTCCATATACAGTCCAAGTCCAAATTAAAGTCAATGACATTGTCCAATTCAATTCATGCCCGCAAGCAAGTGCCTAATATATTCCAGGCATAGTCTCAATCTTACAGATGCAATGGAATAAGATACTCACTGGTCTGAAGTTGCTATGAGTCTGCCAGGGGATACAGACGAGTCAATAGATGACTTCATCAAATGTGGTATAAATGAGAAAGATATACATGAAGTAACTGGAACAGAAAATAGGGGCACTAAGCCTGTCTCGGGGTCCACAGCAAGCTTCCTGAAAGAAATGGTCCCTGAACTATGTCTTAAAGATAAACAGGTGCATTGGCCATGTGCAGAGTGAGAGAGAAAACCATGAGCGAGTCAATGAGATATGCAGCACATCTGGCCAGTGTGGAGAACACAAGCCTTTGGATATCGCTAGAAGAAAGAGGAAACAGGGGATGAGATCAGGGAGAAAGACAGGAGCTAAGACAAAATGCTCCTGTCTTTTCTCATTGATTTAATGAGTACCTCCTGCGTGTCAGCATTACCCTGTCCTTAAGGAGTTTAGACTGTATCCTATAGGACAGCAATAGGTAGAAATTAAAGGGTGGATGGTCACATGTATGTGATTTTATTTGATCGTTTTTTATTGATCAGCCTGCCTATCCTATGAATAATGTCTTTGATGGGCGCCAACTTAAAGCTGTGGAACTCAGCTGAGAAATTAGTGCAGTAATCTCTGAGGAAGTTAATGAGGGCTATGGTTGTAGAGTTGACAGGTTGTGGAATAGACACGAGAAATACAAAGTTATAAAAATGAGTAGTGCGTTACTTTGCATAAATGTAGGAGGAAGTGAGAGAGTTTCATAGCAGAACACCAAGGTAAATGGTGGTAGCACACACAGAGATAAGGTATACAAAAAGGAAAGCTGTCTGGGGACCATGATTTTACAGTCACATGGGCATACCAAAGGATATGTTTAGCATATTTGGAGTTCAGGGCTAAAAACATATCCGGTAGTCCAAAGCGCATATAGATTTGAGAGTCTGCAAAGTTGGTAAGTTTTGCCAAAAGGAGTATCTAGAGTAAAAAAAGCGATGGACAAAAGATAGAAGAGAAATAGCAATAGTGTATGGGCTTGGATTAGTGCCCATGAAGAAACCCAAAGAGAAATGATCACAGGTAGAGAGAAAAGAGTGACAGCCAAGACAAAAAAGAGGACGGAGTGACAGCCAAGACAAATAAGATTAAAATGTTTAAAAAGGAGTGAAACGGGCATGCCAGTGATGTAAGCATTAAAAACCAGAGTTTGGTAGTGGAGCGAGGGTAAGTGCTGGGTGGGAGCCCCGCTCAGGAATCTAGTGGGGTGACGTTGATCTGTTCAGTTGGTTGACATTTAAATTTATTTTGGCTTTCATTCTTTATCTTTTCTTTACAAACATTGTTTTTGTTTTTCCGCTTTAAAATTTTCTTTTTAATGCACCAGATACTTCAAACATAGCTTTGAAACTCAACCGATACCAGTCAAAAGATTTGACGTTTCTTTCAGTAGCGAGTTGACTGGGTCAAAGATTCCTTGTCTTTGAATCTGTGTATTCTTTCCTTTCTGTTTCTACCACCGTGGCCCTGAGTGATTTCAACACACTTCTGATGATTTTCTCCATCTTCTCTCCCTTTGCTCGCCAATCCATCTTCTCTTACTGCTTCTAGGATACTTGCCCTAAATGCAGGCGTTAAGGTATTAAGTGGTCTCCCGTTGTTAAATAAAGACCAGATTCTTTCATTAGGCAATTTCCAGTCTCCACAAGCTTATGCCAGCTTATCTTGCTTCCCACCAAACTAAACTATGAGCATGTATAATTTTCACTAGATAATTGTGATTCCTTTAAAGGCAGAATCTGTACTATATTTGCCTTGGTATCTCCTGAAATACCCAGCCCAAATAAATTTGCTCGATTTATTCTTAGATATCTCTGACACATATGTACTGTCTATCATTATGTGAACTTTTCTTTTTTGGCCTTGCCCTGATATGACTTTGAGGATTACATAAACAAGCAAGATTATCTTTTGGGTACCTTGCCCTCCTTACAATAAATGTTTTAGTTCATTTCAGACCTTAGAGTTCTAATGAATCCAACAATCTCACTAGATTATGAGTTTCACGAGAGCAGGAATCTACCGTGCCTGATTCATTATCGTAATCCTTACAGCTATGTTCTTTGTGGCATTCAGAAAGACTTGTTGAGCAGTGAATTGAAACTTCATGCTGACTTATGAAATCTTTACGGAAAGGTGACACCATTGTGCAAGCATATCCTTCTGATCAAAACTTCTCATTTCTCAGAATGGCTGCTATCATTTTGTCCCAACTAACTTCCATAAACTGCAGTGACGCCCGTAACTACACAGAAAGAAACAAAGAAGAGCAGCTTACCGAACTGACACCGGGACCCGTAGTACCCCACGTCACAGTTACAGGTGTGATTATTGATGGTTTCCACACATTCTCCGTGGCCACTGCATGACCAGGGCTGACAGGAAGCTTTAAGGAGATCAGAAAGAAATCATTTTAATGAGATTACTTTTTAGTATTCATAGTCATTTCTTTAGATATAGATAAATTTTTCGCTGAGACTGTTTTAATAAACAGGAAAGCTCTATTTGTACAATCATAGCATTTTTGCATAAAAACCATAGGCTAAATATTTTATTGATGTACTGTACTGGCCATATAGCCATAGACATTTGTTTCTAGAATGAATTTACCAAGGCTAAGACTCTATAAAATTTGGGATGAACTTAGTGACATACATTAAAACTCTTGAAATTACTTTGTTTTTAATATAATAAGCAGGTTAAATGATGACCTGACCCAATCATTTCTGCAGTATGCTTGGCAATCTCTTTCTGTATAGAAAGAACTATAGAAAAAGTAAAAAGTCCCAATTCGATCAATTAATAGGGAGTTCAATTTACAAGAGAGTAAATTGACTGTGTTTCACTATTAACATATGACTGGGGAAAATCCTGACTGGTTTGGAACCATTGCAATAGTCTCTACAGAAATTTTCATATACCACAGATAATGGAACACTGCAGTATTTCATTCTATAGAATTATACGATTAGACAAAGAAGGAAATGGGACACCAAGCCCCCTACTTTACAGTGAGGAAGCTGAGGCGACGTGAGCCGAAGCTCTTGGCTGGGCCCATCTCTCTGTTTCCACCTCTCTGCCTTAATACCAGGGACACGATTGTCCAGTCCTCGCTCCTTCCTCCCACATGTCCTTGCCATCTTTGTGCACACTGATGCAGGGGTTTACCTGTGTAGCAGAGAGCCACCTTCAGCTTGCGGCAGGCGTCGTCGTTCCACTTTCCAGCGTCTTTGGTCCTTTTGATGTAGATCTCCACGCAGTCCTCTTTCGTCTTCCTATTGTTGGGTTCCCCATGTCCCCAGTTCTCTGCCTCCTTGGTGAGAGACTTGTTGGTTCCCACCCACGTCCACACCCCTCTCACCTTGCGGATTCCTATCCAGTAGTAAGTAGCACTATAGGGAAGCGTCTTGTTCAGGTACTCGATCTCCCCTTTGTTTTGTATGGCAACTAAATCTGTGTAGTTTTGTTGGCAGAACCGTCTAGCGTTTTCCCAGGTCATGGGTCTTTCAGAGTAATGGTAAGTCCAGCAGTTGGTTCCATGATACACAGAGAAATCTGAAAGACAGCGTGAACCGGATAGACTCGCAGTTACGGCAGTTATGGCTGAAAAAAACCGAGGGCGAATCCAGGCTGGGCCTGCCACTGAGAGACGAGGAAACTGACACCTTAAGGGCATAAGTTCCTCCCTGGATCACAGATTCAGTCATTGGCAGATTCGAAGTAGAAGCCAGACCTTCTAGTCCTGTTCACTTTCACCATAATATAAAATACTTTTGGATGTAGCTCTATGTTTTAAAATTTGGTGGCTTTCTGGATTTATTTTCAAAAAAATAACAAGTAAAATTTAACCAACATATTTTAGAAATTCATATTTCTTTATCTCAGCAGCTGTCAATCATTTAAAATTAATTTGAGTGCAATATCATATATCTCTAAGGTTTCCTGGGATACTTTCCTGAAGACCGCCATTTCTGTTTCTAAGAGAGAAGTAAAATAAGGACAGGAATAATGACATTTTTAAGTGATGTTTTCCATATTGAAAAGAGAATGTTTTCCCATAGGGAGAAGTGCTCCTGGGAAAGCCTTAGATGTCTGACTGCGTAATAAAAAAGAACAATCTGTGAAATCAGATGGCATAGGATTAGGAAGTTTACTTAGGTCCTCTTCTGTGTATGAGATACTCAGCTGATGACGTTTAATCATCATATGGGTGCTTCAAATATGAGGGCTTTGAAAAAACCAAAACAAAAACATAATTACACAATGACGTCATAATAATATATGCCATTCTAAGCACAGTATAATCTATGTGAAACACTATTATGCCATAAGGTAAAAGTTTTCACAGCTCTCGACAGTTACTGAGTTTTCACTGTGTATGGCAAATACATAGAGAAATACCAAAGAAACTTTTACAGCCTCCTAAGGCTTCTGAACAAGGAATAGCAGAATGCAAAGAAAGCATAATTAATTTGATCAAATTAAACATATCAGAAATGAACCAAGAACTGTGAAACAGATATGATTCATGAGTAAAGAAGATCATAAAATAAATACATGGAACGGAGTTTCAAAGGAACCTTCTATGGGAATTTCTAAGAGGGAGGAAACTGTTTTGCTTGCTGCTGTATCCTTAGTGCCTAGAATCATGTTTGGCACATCGCAGGGACACAGAAAACACTTGTCGAATGAAAGGAGCACCAGGGTCCCAGACATGGGTGCAGACATGGTATAGGAATGTGTGAGGGGCAGAGAAAAGCAGTTTGCTTGGCCAGAGCTGAAAATCCTAGCTGGGGAGTAAGAAGACGTTAGCCCACTTAGGAAGTGGGAAAGAAAGTTCAAAACAATTGCTGAACAGTCTTCAAGAACCAGACATAAAACTTGCCACATCAGCAGTGGAAGGATCAAAGACCAGGCAAAGGGCCTGCCCTTAAAGAGCCAACACTCTAATCACAAGGACGACATCGTGTCTACTCAACTGCTGGGAAGTGACAGAAAGCGCAGGGCTAAATATTCGGAACAGGCTGTAAGTTCCCTATTAGATATTTCGTAACTGACCTTATTCCTGCATAAATAAGATCTTTGTGGGTTTATCAGAATTTAGACCCTGCAGTAGAGGGTGTGGCAAGCTTAGGAGGTTTCTGGCGAAGTACTAAACGAGGGAGGAAGGAAAGAGATCTTCATCGAATGGGTAGAATTACAGCTATCTACCTAATAATTTTCCCGTTGACTATGCACACCTAGTGGATATTTAAGAAAAATAAACAAGTTTTTTTTTTTTAAAAAAGGTCTGGCAATATACACAGAGCAGAACATACCACAGCAGAGCACTGTCCACAACCACAATCTTAAGACTCCCTGAGCACGCTGGCGTTTCCATGGAAATATCTGCAAATAAAACGCAAAGTTGTACTTAGATTTATACTCTAAAAATGCATGTTTACAGCACCTTGAGGAGGTAACTTCAACTTTCTTAAAGTTCAAAACAAAATACACATGCTTCCTAACTCTAGCCAAGGTTATAGATTTCTCAGAAATGAATGACAGAGTAGCATTAAATTTGCCTCAAAACCAAAGCATGTTTTTTAGCCTCTAGTTGCTGATCGTT